GCACCCCTGCTCTGGACAGACGGCACCCCAGTTGGGAAACACTGATCTAGATAGATAGATAGATAGATAGATAGATAGACAGATAGATCGATCGATCGATCGATAGATAGATAGATAGATGAATGTGGCTAAGATGCCATCACAGTGGAGCAAATAACACCAACCCTGTTTGTTTAGTGATACAGCCCTCTACAAACACCTTGGCAATTGAATCGCCATTGGCTAGTAAATTTTTTTGTTTACTCGCCAGACTGATAAATATATACATACACATATACATATATACACACACATACACATACATACATGTTCGGCGAGTGAAAATATATCTGAGCTAAACTTATACTTAGCCTCCAACTCACACACTGGCGAGTAAAATCTGAGAATTTATTAGCAATTGGCTAATATTAGACATCATTTAGTCGCCAGAGTGAAGATTTAGTCGCATATGCGAGTGATTTACTCGCAATGTAGAGGGTTGTGATAGATGAAGCGAAACTAGGAATTTCTCAAGAGAAAGAAGGAGGAAAAACAGTATTTATGTGGGTTTACGCCCACGCAGACAGAGATTGACCTCGGCATTCATCTGAATCTTCCTTACAGGATTATTCTGATCTGTGGGGTAAGATGTCAGCGAGACTTCTGGCTCACACTACATCTCAACACCCTCCCTCCCAGCTCAAGCCGAGCTCCGCTTGTGAGAAATAACAACACTGACAGCTATATTTAGCCAAGGCCCTCTGGATCTTCCCCCATTAGCCACCTCACAGCCCGCAGGCTCCAACATCTCACCGGCAGCCGCCTCACGGATCACAGACACCTCACCGCGTACCTGAGAGCCTCCTCACAGGAACACGTCGACTGCCAGATAGCCAGGTACAGTCTGTGGTGGAGCGTGTGCTGCTGCAGAATTACCAGGCAGCTGTGATTCACAGAGAGAATTCTGGGAGGATTTGGGGTTTGTCATTTGCAAGTGTCATCACTTCGGGGATTTGCGGAGCAGCAAAGAATCAAGGAACGTTGTTGGAGAATCTCCATGTGCCACGGTTTGATTTCTCCTTTCAAAAGTTCCTCGAAGATTATCCTTACCTCAACATTTCTAACTCTGCTGATCGTCTCTTTTAAAAGTCACTCGATATCAGAGTGAATTCACCAGAGATAGGAGAACGACTGACAGCTTACCGTCTTTCCCCACCAGGAAGTCCACGTGGTGGTACGTGTAGGCGACCCCGATCTTGGTCTCCACCTGCGGTCTCTTGAGGGTGGAGTAAATCTTTCCCGGACTGTTGTCTTCCGTCTGACGGAACTTCCTCAACCCGCAGCCCATTTCTGCCTAACGAGTGCGCACTTAAGCCTGGGATGAAAGAGACACGGTCAGAAAGACAAAGAGGTTCAAACAATGTCTTCAGCATTCACAACAACACCACTGTAGATGCATGTAGACACAACAGAGCTGACCTGCAATTCAATGCACTCTTAAAAATAAAGGTTCCAAAAGGGGGTTTTCAGCAAAACCACAGAAAACCATTTTGGGGTCCATAAAGAGCCTTTCAGTGAACTGTTCTTAAAATAACCTATTTTTTTTTAGTGTGAAGAACATTTTAATAATCTCAAGAACCTTTTTGCACTATAAAGAACCTTTTTTTTTTTATTATTTATCAAAATTAAATAATTATGTTAAATTATTACAATAATTAGTCATTTTTATTATTACTCGTCATTATTGTCAAAATCAATATTCATGTAATAATTTTAATATAAATTAATAATTATAATACATTAATGATCATAAAAATAATACAATTTAAATAAAAAATGTAAAAATAATAAATTAGATTATAAAAAAATAATGATTATTGTTATTAATTTGTATATTAATATTATTATCACTAATAATAATAATATAATTCTATTATTATATTCTATATTATTATTTTTTTTTTTTAATTTCCAAGATGATTGGACACCACTTATTAAAACATGCAGTGTGATGTTAAAACTACTGTTATTATTAATTTCATAATGCATTCTGTTTCACATTCTATTATTCAAACAATAGTAGGCCATGAACAGTATTTGCTACAGAGTATTCAGGTAGCAGTAAGCTAGTATTCAGTTCCAAATATAGTCCATAGTTTGTACTTGTTATTGCTTGTCAGTGGCAGGTGGTGCTAAAGGGGAGAGACATTCTCATTCTGTTCTCATTCTATTTTATAATGACATTCGCTTTTTATTCAACAACAATTTGCATATGCTGTAGTCATCAATACTTTTAGTCACTGTACACAGTATGCAAGGTGCCCGCTTTGTGTTTAATACGCTTAGGGCTTCATCTCTCTGTCAGGCACATTTTTTTTTATATTGCATATATCTCCTAAAGGTTTAGATGTCAGCTGACCTTAAACCTAATAGGACTACAAAACCGCAAAACTCCAATTTCGATTTCAATCTCATTACGACTAACTCCATTCACGTTCTGCTTTCTTTCAGGTGTTTCCCATGTGGAAAGTAATCTGTCCATTTTCTCACGTACCACATTAATTTGCCTCGGCGTGCACTGCAAAAGACCGTACGCTGCTGTTCTACAGTTCCTTTCAGCCAGGTACTGCCTCATCCTGTGCTTCTTTGGCAGAAAGCAAGCAGAAAAAGACCCAATTAAGGGCACACTAGATTACGAAATCAGCTACTAAATAAATAAATAAGAGGCATAAATGGGCTTCAGCTCATCATGGGAGCCCAGTCTCTCAACTGGCAGGCTGGGAATTAACACGTCCAGCCAGCGAGAGGCCAAAAGTGCTCTGTTCATCAGCCAAAGCGCCCTCCTTTTCCAAATCTGAAGTGACAGCCGCCGACAGTCGCGAGCAGATCAGAAGGGTGCAGGTAATATCCCATTGTGGCCAGCTGATTAAACCTAGGGTGGGCCATTGATGAAGAATACTCTCTATTATGTTCCTGTCTAATTACAGCGGCCGGGACGCATAATCTGAGAGGCGGCGACGGCCGAGGGTTCTAGAGAATACATGGATAATGAGGTGAGCCGCTCGAATGAAAAGGTGAGAATCAATCACAGAAAATCAAGGAGCAGATTGTTCATTAGGAGTCAGGATAATGCACAGCGTGCTGGCAACTCCAGCGGCAGGGCCACTTTAATTAGGGCCCAGACGAGAGGCCATGCGGATTTATGAACGCTGTCATAAGAATCACTGTTTCCAGTGACATGGACGTGAATGGATGCGTTCGGCTATCCGTGGCTGAATCCAATCGGGGAAATGGCATCTCGGGTACAACGGTCATGCATCAGCAATTGGATTTTTCTAATCTGATCGACTGAACGAATGAAGTGCGGGAAGATTTTAGACTTGTAGTGATTTTTTGGCACGGGGAGTCAAAATGAAATGGGCGCACAACTGATTTTAATTCGGTAACTTGGCGCATTTCTGAGCGAAACAGGCTGTTTAATGAGAATGGATGGAAAGGTGGGACTTTTTGTCCATTGGGAATTGATTGGATTGTGAAAAGTGGGTGTGAAAAATATAGATTCTTTTTTAAGCTGATACTTTTATTCAGCAAGGATGCATTAAATTGATCAAGAATGAAGGTAAATCCATTTATAATGTTGCAAAAGATTTCTATTTCAAATAAATGCTGTTCTAACTTCTAACTATCCATAAAATTATCATGGTTTCCACAAAAATATTAAGCAGCACTTTTAAACACTAATAATAATAATAAAAAATGTTTCTTGAGCAGCAAATCCGAATGATTTCTGGAGGATCATGTGACACTGAAGACTGGAGTAATGATGCTGAAAAATCAGCTTTGCATCACAGGAATAAATTACATTTTACAATATATTCAAATAGAAAATAGCTATTTTAAATTGTAATAATATTTCACAAATTTATTGTTTTTGCTGCATTTTTAATAATAATAAAAAAAAGATGCAGCTTTAGTGATCAGAAGAAACTTGATGTCAGTTCAAAAAGTGGAGCATTTTATTAAATTTAGTTAAAAGGATTACAAGACTTTTTATTCAAAATCAATCAATCAATCAATCAATTATGGATATATGACCCTGGACCACAAAACCAGTCATAAGTCGCATATTTGTAGCAATAGCCACAATAGCCAACAATACCTTGTATGGGTCAAAATTATCAATTTTTGTTTTATTCCAAAAATCATTAGAATATTAAGTAAAGATTATGTTCCATGAAGATATTTTGTAAATTTCCTACTGTAAATGTATCAAAGCTTAATTTTGATTAGTAATATGCATTGCTAAGGACTTCAATTGGACAACTTTAAAGGCAATTTTCTTAATATTTAATTTTTTTGCACCCTCAGATTCCAGATTTTTGTGTCTCTGCCGAATATTGTCCTATCCACACACACACACACACACACACATCTTTTAAAAATCTAAATATAATTTAACCAGGAACATGCATAAAAACAAATTTAACAGTCAGTTTTGATTTTATGTTGGATCACGATAATTTATGTATTATAGAACCTGAATGTTACTGTATTTAAAGATGTTTTGACTCTGTAAACGGTATGTTTGTCCTAAAAGGCAGGTCAGCTCTCTTTCAAATATCACTCTTTTCTGATATTTTTCTATCAGATGGAAAAACAACAGACTGCTCCTAAAATAGCCGTCTTTGACATGACGACAACTTGCACAAAGTGGCTTTTTCAGACATCGCTCCATGTTTTGAGCTCAGACACGCTCTCTCTAGAAGCAACAGGCTAAGCGTGTGCTCCGTCAGAGAGAGAAAGCAAGCAAAATAAAGAACCAAAGGGGTGGTGTGGCGCGTGAGGAAAACAAAGTTGGTTGGAAGGGCTGATATTTGCATAGCTGATAGAGACGAGGAGGGGGGCCATGAAACGAAGAGGCGAGGTATTTTTAGAGCTGACGGAGGAAGTGGGAGATGTTTATGATTTCAGAGCGACTACTCCCTCCCCGAGGTTCTGCTTCATGCTACAAGCTTTTGGCAGCACTGTCTCTCTAGTCAACCTGGCAACAGCTCCCTCATGCACTGTAGACTGACAAGAAAAGAGTTCACTTCCAGTATGCAAGGTAGTCTAAAATGAAAGACAAAAAACAGTTCTCCTGTGACTTTTCATAACGTAAGTGATGGTGAGACTGACGAAAAATAAAATCTGGGCAGGCCTTTTGATGAACGTTCATTTGTTCCTCAACCTCTCTGTGCTTAGCAAGCGCCTTATATATTGCGCCACAGGAAATGTTTGTAAAAATGATCATTTTCCCAGCAACAACCCATCGGGGAGAAGCGATGAGCCGTCTATGATGACCCTGCTCGGTTTCAGTGTTCCTCACTGCTCTAATTCAATAACTGTGTGCAAAGGACAAAACTTCAATGTCACGGTTTGCGGCTCTGTTCAAAGCTGCGGTTAAGCTCGTGTTTAGAGATGCATTACCTCAAAGAGAGACTCAAAAACACTATTCTCCCTTTGACCCATTTTCTTTAATGTGGCAAATAAGGCACAAGGCATGGTTTCCTGACTCATGTTTTTGTCGGTTCAGCAGGGAGAATGCTCTCCTGGGGTAGGAATGAGGCAGTCTCCCTGTTTGGACTTCCTCCTTCCTTCCTGGACGTCCTGGTCTCAACAAAGACCCCTCACCTGAGCAGGACATTGTGAACACACTTGAAGAGATAATGTCACTGTCAAGATCCAAACAAGACAAAAGCCACAGTAAAAGCATTAGATTAGATATATATGCTAGTATACTAAATATGCTAAACATATATAGAGGGATTTTTTTGAGGGGGCAGATGAATTAGGGAAATTTTTACTTTTGGCCACATATGAACCATAATGGAAAATGTTACTGAAAGTAAAAAATATGTGTGTGTATAATTACTGGCACTGTTTAATGTGATCAGGTATTTGTTTTTATATTTTATTATTTTAACATTTATTTTTTTGGACTATTTTCAGACCAGTTTTCATCTTCAGATGCAAAAACCTCCAAGTCCATCTGAGTTTTTTTTAGTTTTTAGCATTTTTGTCAGTTTCATAAGTGTAGGTTAAGTCATTTGAAAAGGTTATTAGTCAGTTATTGAATGCCTTATTTTCAAAAATGTCCAATGTTATTTTCATAGGAGCCTGATAAAAACGCTCATTTCAAAGAAAAATCTCTGTTTTTATATATATAAATCAGCATAGTGTTATTTATTGCTCTTTCTTGAGAGCAGTTGTAACATGGAAAGCAATTTCCCTCTGGGATTAATATTCAAGTTTTTTGAATCTTGAATCTTATGCATAAATATAATTATATCATGGTAAACATATACTATACTATACTGTATACTAAGCTATACTCTC